ACTGGGCTGGTCAGAAAGCTGGGTGTTTACGTCTCCTCACTACACCGGGCTGGTCAGAAAGCTGGGTGTTCATGTCTCCTGGAAACTAATGGCAATACTCTTTTCCTTTTTTAAGTTACAACTGAACCAGTTCCGTACCAGCCAACTTACTGAAAGTCCTGTGAGATGTTCAAAGATCTCAAACGTTTACCTGGTAGTTTATTGATTGTATATATCACTTGAATGTAAACTCTTAACATAGAGATTAGAGAATCAGTGTTCTTCTGGGTTTTCATTCCCACGACCTTGTATTTGTCCCCAGCCCCCCCGATTCTGGGCTCCTGGCCCCAGTTCTGAGGACAGGCTGACGGTGGGGCTCCCACGTGGCCCGGCCTTGTTAAGCCATGCAGCACAGACCGGTAGCGCTGCTCCCCTCCGGCCCCCGCTGCCCCACCAACCTTTAGGTCCAGGTGTGCGATCCTGCAGTTGTGAAGGTATCGGACTGCTTCCAGCACCTCCCCCAGGTACATCCTGATCTTCCCCTCGGTGAGGTCTCCCCACCGCACCACGCAGTCCAGAAGACGGCCTTGGTCAGCCCTGAGGAGGCAGGCACATGTGACAGCGGTCAGGGGGCTCCCTGGTCTGACAAGAATGAACGCCTTGTACCTGTCCTGCACAATTTACGTTCTACCACGTTTCAGGATTATCCCTCTACCCAAAGACATGGCTGTATAAAGAGGGTGATTTCTTTTTTTAAACTTCATCATGAATATGTCAGTGGGGAGCAAAGTATCCCCAAACTTAGAGGGAGCTGGGTGGCATAGCAGAGAAAGGTCAGGAGGGTCCGTCCCCAGCAAGCCTGGATTCAGACCCTGCCTTGGCTGATGAGCGGACACACCCACAGACAAGCTACATGGGCAGGGCCTGGCCCAGGAGGCCTTCTGTATACATCTGCCGAGTGAGAAAATAACGTCATGCCACCACTCTGAGCCTCAGTTTCCTCACCCGTAAAATGGGTGATGTGAACACTGAACGAGGTAATGTAAATAAATAGACAATATAGCAGGTTCTTCATGGTAAACTCAAAAGTCTTCCTACTCTGAAATGATTTTATACAGCACTGCACATGGGCCGGAAACCCTCGTGGCGTAGTGGTTAAGAGCTATGGCTGCTAACCAAAAAGTCAGCAGTTCGAATCCACCAGCCCCTCCTTGGAAACTCTATTGGGTGGTTCTACTCTGTACTATAGGGTGGCTATGAGTTGGAATTGACTTGACGGCAACAGGTATGGGCACATGGGCCAAGGACTAAATGCTTTACATCAACTCATTTAATCCCCATGACAACGCTCTGAGGAAAGTGCCATCACGGTCCCCACTGTACAGATGAGGAAGCTAAGGCACAGAGAAGGTATCTAGCTTTCCCAAGGTCATACAGCTCGTAAGCGTAGAAGGTGGAATTGGAACGAGCTGGTCTGGTCCCAAAGGTTCCTGGGTGGTGCAAACGGTTTGCGCTTGACTACTAACCTAAAGGTTGATGGTTTGAACCCAGCTAGTGGCACACTGGAAGGAAGACCTGATAAATCTGCTCCCACAAAGATGATAGTAAAGAAAACCTCTATGGTGCAGTTCTACTCTGAAACCCACCGGGGGCCGTCAGTCAGAACTGACTTGGTGGCAATAGGTTTGTGTTCTCATTTTTTTTGATCTGGCCCTAGCATCTCTAAACCACTGGTCGAGGCTGCTCTCTGCTCGCAAAAGAGAACAGAACTGTAGAGGAAGATCACCCCTTGTCTAGCATTAGGTAGTAGTCAGTGAGCATTCGGTCGTGATTTGTTACAAAAATAAATCCTATCAACCACTATGGTGAGGCCAAACCATTCAGTTCTCCAGTGAAAGAAATGACACTTGAAAGCACTGACATTTTAAACCTTGTAGGAGAATTTTGACAAGGACTCTAGCAACCATTCTTGTTAAAAATCCCCAGGGAAGACACGCAGTTGCTATCAGTCAGCAAGCTTCTAGAACCAGACAGACCCCTTCAAGCAAAAGAATCCAACGACCAGGTCAGGTACAGGGCATCGAAGGAGGCTGTGCGAACGAGGGGTCAAAACCTGCACCCCAGCCTCCTGGTGAACCTGCCCGTGTGACTCCGTGGAAGGTTCTGCTAATCCTACCCTCCCCACCTAAGAATGGAGCAACAATTTACAAGTAGCGGTAAAGTGGAAAATAAGCTGGGAATCTACAGAAATGTATAAAACGACTCCCCTAAAAAGGAGAACAGGAATTTTTACGAAACTAAATGCAAGGACGTTTCATTGAGGTTAGAACGTGAGAAGGGCAAGGTACCCCCACTGCAGCACTACTGACATCTTGATATGGACAACTCTTTGTTGAGGGAGGTCGTCCTGTGCGTGACAGATGTTTAGCAGCATTCCTGGCCTCCACCCTCAGGATGCTGGTAGCAAATCCACCCCCTCGCCAACATCTGACAGCCAAAAATGTCTCTAGACACTTCCACCTGTAACCTGGGAGGCAAAGCTACCCTTAGTTGGAGATTGCTGGTCTAGGATCACGGGCTTTTCAGGAACTGAACTGTTCACTGAGGCCTCACACAGAAGCCACCAAGTCCATCGAGTCTAGCAAGGCTGCTCAGCTGAAGTGCCCACACACTCACTTCTCAGGGGAGGTGCACTCACCCTCCCCTTCTACTCGGTCCTGTCCTTTCCGCTGGCAGGAGGCCCGAGATAGTGCTGGCCCTGGGGTGGAGTCAGATGCCTGAAGAAGTGGATGCAAGCAGGTCTCAGAGAGACCACGCCAACTGTCCCTCTGAGCAAGGACTGCCCTGAGCAGATGCACAGTGTCAGGTCAACCTCGGGATCCATGGGCAGTGCCCAGGTGGCTGACCACTCTGGGCCCCTTGGTTGTCTGGGAGCCGGCGCGGAGCCTGGGGGGACAGAGCTGCTCTGACACGAGGTGGGATGGCTCCCTGGATGGAATAGCATGGACTGGAGACTCTACTTCTGTTTGTCATTGCTGTAAAGCCCTACACCGTGCTCTCTGACAGTAAGCACGTGCTTTAGCAGCACTGTGAATACTAAATCCCAGTTTCTATCACTCGTACTTAGGGAGCGCCCCCTGCCTCCCACACACGAGAAAGGAAAGTACTCGAAGTTGAGGCTGAGGTGATAAGGAGGGGAGTTAAGTCAGGTGTGTACGCACATTTCTAGAACCAGGACGTAACTGGTGGGGGTCTCGAAGGTATCGAGGAGACCAATGAGAAGGGGGTGCTGGAGGTTCTGCAGGATTCCGAGCTCATGGGTGACCTGGTCACGCTTCATCAACTTCTTGTTCACAAACTTGGTAGCCACTGCTCGTTTGGTTCCCTTCTGATCACACTTCTTAACGACAGAGAATCTGCCCCTGGAGAAGATGTTAACAAGACAGTTGCTCAGGGATACTGACACGTGTCGAGGAGAAAAGACTCTTAACGTACGTAGGCTGAACCGGGACGGTCTCCACTGGTTGACGGCCCAAGCCCCTTCCACAGCCACTGCTCCTCCGGCCACTTCTGTGGAGGGGCTGGTCTAGGGGGCCACGGTGGCCCCAGTGAATGATGCCCGTGTCCAGGCCCCGCAGCCGTGGGACTCCGTCACTCCTGCCTTCTAGAAGCAGGGCTGATTTCCTCACCCCTGCATCTGGGTCATGTGACTTCCTTTGACCAGCTGAACGGGGCAGAAGTAGTATTATGAGACTCTCCAGCCTAGGCCTTACAAGACAGCTTCCCCTTTAGTTCTCACGGAAAACTGTCATCACCTGGGAAAGAGAAGACGTTTGGGATAACATGCTCGGTGCCTCCAGGTCACCCTGCTCCCGCTCACTGTCTCAACAGGAGTATCTGTTGCAGTCCTTGTCCTATGCCTTGCTGTTGTTTGATAGATGTGTGCTGCATGTGTGTGTGCATAATGCACTGTGTGTGTGCATGCTGTACTGTGCGTGTACATGCTGCACTGTGTGCTGCACTGTGCGTGCGCATGCTGCACTGT